TTCTGGTGGAATCGACCTTCGAATCTCTTCACCCAACACTTTCACTTGAAATGGAAGTAAGCTCAACAATATCTCTTATTCCTTAACACGAAGCGACTTTCACGAACCCGAGTCTACTGCATTCCTATGCAAGACTTACTGACAGTCGCAATGACTACTAATACTGCATATAAGTAGCATCGACAACTGCAATAGGAAACACGCATATCCGCTCACTGGCACCCGCGGCTGTACATTAGACGAGCTCGAACCTACAGTCTAATGCAGCCTTGGAGGAGAAGCGACATTTTGATTTGTCGGTAGAATTCGCAATGTCAGCAGGAAGGGTGGGTGCAGCTGTAGTGTGAATGAGAGAGGACGAGTGACTAGGCCGAAATTTGTCGCCAACTAGTCTTATGATGGCCAAACCGTTTAGGATCTTATCTCCAGCCTGGCAAATTTTGAGGCTGGAACTGCATTGCCAACCTGTGAAATCAAGGCATCAAGATGAAAAACAGCAGTTATCATTTCCACAGCCAACACGAGGCTAGTGTAGGTACGTTGTGTCTGGTTTCCATGGCGAAATTGTGATTAATTCCATTTCTTCCGAATTCCAAAACCTGCCTTGCCAATGAGGGCCAAATCAGGCAAAAGGTTATTTCCACTTGGAATATATAAAACGGACTTGTAAAGCAAAGACCTTTATTACAATCGTGTTGCACTTTACATTACTACATAGAAGGGTCGATTTTTGTTGGGATAAAGTCTAACTGTACCCAAGATGCTGCTTCTCTGCAGCATTTTTAATGCACCGTTGCTAAATTGCACATGAGAATTTCTAAACATTGATATCGGAGGAAAGCCACTGTATTTCGTTTAAGGGGACTAATAGATTAATTGTCCCACAATCAAAAGAGTAGGCCTCATGTTTCCAGTGGATTTCACACAGTCTTACTTCCCAAAATGCATTCTCATACAGGCTGAGGTGGATAGCAGTTTCGACCTCATCTGAACTGCTCTCATTAGCACCAACAACGGGACTCGAACTCGGAGTATGCTAGTACAATCTATAATCTCTACATGTTAATCACTGCGCCAGACTACCAGAGTGCCGGTGAGTCACGGAGGAGATGCGAATTTCAAGGAAGCCAGACAATTTCTCTTATCGCATGCTATGGTTGGTTTTTTGATGAATAAAAGTTTTATTTTTGCTGTAGCAATCGACAGCATCACTTATTTTTCGTTTTACAAGTAAGCTCTCGAGACACCTGGTATATCATATATATGAGATGTATTCACCCTATCTCGTTTAAGGAGATAAGAGGACTGGGGGTTGAATTTTCCCTGAGCTTTGTATTAAGTAAAAAGTATTAGGAAAGATTTAGTGCAATAGATCGAGCATTTTAACTATTAAGTGAAGGATGTGGGTTATTCGTGAGGCCTGTGCAAAGACGTCGGGAAGCATGTGATTTGGGACTCTATTCGCCCAAGACCAGAATGGGTCCAGATTGCTTCAGCAATTTTCTGATGAACCGTCTTGGAGGCCACTTTCGCAGCTTTAAACGACTCCACTTTGGACGCCCAGCTCGCATTAAATGGACACTATAAAGAATTAACCATGTAGTATACCAGTCGACCTGTAGTAGCACTGTTCACAAAACGACACATCAAATCATGTGACCCCAAGTCATGTGGTTTGTTCATTAACATGCAGAAATGTAAACGTTTGCGACCAGTTTTTCGTCAACTCAGCTTAATTTTATCTTTACTTTATTCTTGAGTATTGCTTTTTTAAGTTGGATATTTAGAATAACATTGCTGTGATCTTGTTTTCCACAGCTTGGCCCTTTTGTTGAAAATCTGCCTTGTCTAGCAACCTCTCTTATTGCCTCGAATCGTGTACTTGGAACATTCGAGAACGACTGATGCCGGAAATCGCCATGAATACTCTTAAAGAGAATGTTCTTTGAGGT